TCTAGTATTCTAAAGTGCGTACTAATGCATCTTGACAAACCCAATATATACTGCATGTGTTTATCTTCTACACTGACTAAAATCCGTATGTCAGCAACAAAGTCGACAATCATGGTGATGATCGTCAATTAAATTAGTCCTATTGACATGGTTGATTATTCATAGAAAAGCATAAAACGATCGATTGCTTTTCGATAGATGATAGAGTGCAAATTAATTCAGCGTTAATTCAATGTTTATACCTATGACGGCACCGTTTATAGTTTAATATACCGCAAGCACAGACAACTGATGATGAGACGCGAAGCTTTAAAACTTGATTAACGCCACAAACACAAATGATTTTACAAAAGGGTTTATAAATAATAGATTAGTAAAGGAAGATAATTTTAAGCAGTGTTCTCTTTCCAAAGTACGAAAGCGCGCATTAAGTTGAGCTTTTAGCTTAGTTTAAACCACATCTTACTTTTCATTTCTATCAACTAGATTGCTTTGTGATTTAGTCTCAACACACAATATGATAAGTCGCATAAAGCAATTTTGGAAATAATTCGAGAAAAATCATCGAGAGAATAATAAATTTTAGCAGATTGATTAAAAAAAAAACTACTTAAAAACTACAGACAATACAGCGCTGTCTGTTTTAGCGCTCTCTTGCCGAATCTTTGACTTTTGGAGGCCGATCATTCTACAAAGAAGGGGAAGAGGCTTTGCCGAGTCTGATATGGATGCGGAGAAGCTAAGTAAAAGGGACACGTTGAAATGTAAAGAGAAAGAGAGAGAGAGAGGAAGAGATGCAGCATGCAGCATGCATGCATGCATGTATGCACGCACGCGCGCACACGAAAGAGAAGAGAAAGAAGAAATAAAGGAGGAAGGGGAAGGTATATACGAAGCGGGGAGAGACAGAGAGAAAGAAGAAAAGATAAAGTGAGAGAAAAGGGGGAGGGGAAAGAAAGCCTGGTGTAATGGAGGAACCAGTTTGCGGGTCAGTGCTCCGCATCAACGAGAGGCGCTTCAGCCTCTAGACGCGCGGACGATGCCACCGAGTGAAAGAAGGATGGGGAGACTCAGTGGGTCCTGTGAAGGACGTGAAAGAGGCAGGAAGAGTCCGCACGTGATAGAGAAATCATTTGGGAAATATTACGATTTGTAGATCAGTCTGCGCTCTGCGCATGCAGATTTTCATAGTAATAAAAAAAAGTAATAAAAAAGATTTCAATGTGTGAAAAAAGAAACAGATCAGTTATTGTATTTAGACTAACTTATTTAAAAAACTATTTACTATCACATTTTTTAACCGGGATATATTTAATCTTGTCCTGTCGATACAAATATTTAATGCTACACATATATTAAGCAAATAAAGGTTCTTTATACAACAAGATCTGTAATATACAGATAAAAATACAGAAAAATGAAATATTATATAATACATATATACATATATATATATATATATATATATATATTCTTATTGTTGAATATACACTGTACATAAGATCTGTCTCGATCTTGAAAAGAGGAGATGACGTAATAAAAATGAATACCACGTGAGAGAAAGAGAAAAAAGGAAAGAGGAAAAACAATATTTTTCGAAAATGTATACCAGTACGCATAAAACTGGTTCTATTAGCTGGGCGTGTATAGATGCATCGGATTAGCACCTCGCGGATCCGTATCCGTTGGCATGGGTAGAACATGGTAAAAACAGTTCGACGAACATGACCGAAGGCGCAGCAGCAGTCTTGGGAGATGGTAAGCCCGCGATAAAACACTTGAGTTATGCGCGCGCACGCGTGCGGTTGGCTTCATATTCCATATGAAGAAAGTTAGTATTTAAAAAAACCTGTAAGATATTGTCGCGCACGATACACCACATACAATAACACATCAATAACACTAATTCACTTCATTTGATGCAGACCAGACATCCTCGAATGTCTACGAATCAAACGTGATTGATCTCGTTTCAAGTCTAATTGATGGCGATAAAGCGTGAAATATATAATGAAATAAAATGTTTACGATTCGAAAGATTTATTTATTTTTGTAATGTAATGTTTGAAGACGATATAAAATTTTATTATTGACAAGCTATAAAATTAGAGAGAAAATGAATAACATTTTGTTAATTGTATCCATCTTTTACAAGCGTGATGTCAAACATTCGTTCGAAAAAAAATTCTATCGTTCATAACTTTAAACAGGTCTATGCCAGAAAGCACAACTTGTACACCCCAGTGGATTCCTATATGGAGATAATATACAAGTGGGTTTGCGATCTACAGAAAATTAATGATTTAGAATTATAATCTCACTTTTATACATCGTTTTATACATGTTTTCGCTACCAATCACGGATTTTGAGCGACAAGTCAAAATGACTATTTACAGTATACATATATAGTATACTTGACAGATGACGTCACAGGTGACACACATTTTCTAGTGTAGGTACTTTTCGGAATTGCTAGAAAATTCAAGGATCGGAAGTGGTGGAAGAAGAGAAAGAAAAAAACAAAAGGGGAATCTTGTGGTTTTGGTCAACCGGTCGAGTTGCCGTGTACGGGGACAATCTCAGAGCCTTGATGACTAACCGCGTGCCCGTCTTGTTCGGGCAAGAACTCGTCTCCCCTACGGCACGTCGTGAATACCTGCCCAGCACTTGCTTCAGCAAGCACCGATCTTTTTACCACCTGCTGCCGCACGATCTTGCGACGTTCGGTGTTGTTTTGTCAGTATATACCGGAACAACTTAAGACGATTAAAGTTTGTGTACGAGATTCATGACAAACAGAAAAGATTATGTGTTTGTCATTTATATCATCAGATATACAATGGTTTTTATCATTTTATTGTAATAAACATATTCTTGAATTGGTATAATAGGTTTTGAAATTTTCGGTTAATAATTGCAAAATTACATGTCGTATGTTTCTAACACTGAAGATGACCTATATTGTGGTCATAACGTTTGTTTCGTAATTGTCAGTTATTGTTAATAATACACACAAGCATTTTATCTGCAAACCGATATAAGTTTTAAGGAGGTTGTAAGGTAAATGCAATATGTTAAGAATTACTTGAAAAAAATTACAGACTATTCTAAATTTCATTTAATAATAATACAAAAAAAATAGAAACAATTGACCATCTGGATCAAAAGTTATTTG